GTCTGAGTATTTCACAATCTGCTCAGTTACTGGGATTTTCACGCACAACCATTTCTAGGGTTTACAAAGAATGGTGTGCAAAGGGAAAACATCCAGTATGCGGCAGTCCTGTGGGCGAAAATGCCTTGTTGATGCTAGAGGTCATTCCACTCCTCCACACAGATCTCCTCTAGATCTGTCAAGTTTCGGGACTGTCGCAGAACAACATGGAGTTTCAGCTCCCTCCAAAGATTTTCTATTGGATTTAGGTCTGGAGACTGGCTAGGCCACTCCAGAACCTTGATATGCTTCTTACGGAGCCACTCCTTGGTTATCCTGGCTGTGTGCTTCGGGTCATTGTCATGTTGGAAGACCCAGCCACGACCCATCTCAATGCTCTGACTGACGGAAGGAGGTTGTTGCTCAAAATCTCACAATACATGGCCCCATTCATCCTCTCCTTAATACAGTGCAGTCGTCCTGTCCCCTTTGCAGAAAAGCACCCCCAAAGCATGATGTTTCCACCCCCATGCTTCACAGTAGGGATGGTGTTCTTGGGATGCAACTCCTCCAAAAACAGCGAGTGAAGTTTAGACCAAAAAGTTCTATTTTGGTCTCATCTGACCACATGACTTTCTCCCATGCCTCCTCTGGATCATCCAGATGGTCATTGGCAAACTTCAGACGGGCCTGGACATGTGATGAGTTGAACAGGGGAACCTTCCATGCAATGCATGATTTGAAACCGTGACGGCGTACTGTTCTACTGACAGTGACCTTTGAAATTGTGATCCCAGCTCTCTTCATGTCATTGACCAGCTCCTCCCGTGTAGTTCTGGGCTGATTCCTCACCTTTCTTATCATCAGTGATACCCCATGAGGTGAGATCTTGCATGGAGCCCCAGTCCGAGGGAGACTGACAGTCGTCTTTAGCCTCTTCCATTTTCTAACAATTGCTCCAACAGTTGATATATTTTCACCAAGCTGCTTGGCAATTGCCCCGTAGCCCTTTCCAGCCTTGTGGAGGTCCACAATTTTGTCTCTGGTGTCTTTTGACAGCTCTTTGCTCTTGCCCATGGTAGTAGTTGGAGTCTGCAACTACTGACTGTGGGGTGGACAGGTGTCTTTAAAGAGCTCAAACAGGTGCTACTAATTTAGATTAATAAGTGCAGTAGAGGTGGACTTTTTAAAGGCACTTTCGAGTTAAGCGTATTCTCCCCTCCTCAGTGCGGACATGCCCACCACACTTAACTTGAAAGAGAAGGTGCGGCAGGGCAAGAAGCATAAATCTATGCTTAAAGGGGTAGAGGGGTGGGATTTTAGTAACAGTGAGTAGAAACTGGTTTGGAGATCACTGATTAAGCATATAAGCTAAAGTTTAAGCTTGTTTCAACTATGGCGTTCATTGCATTATTGTTTTATCAGCAATGCATTCTAAACTTTCAGTCTATGCTACTAATAATAGCATGTTTAGGCATATTTGCTTGCTTATTACAGAATTGTTCTGAATGAAGAGGGGAAAAAGATGAAGTATGTGCATTTTTACAATAAGGGTCATTCTCACAATCTCATTACCGTAATTTTCTCTAATTTTTAAAACTAGTTTGATGTCAAGCACAAATATTTGTGTAAAATGTTGATTTTGATTGAATGCTTAGAGTACACTTGAGGGTGGCATGGTGGTGCAGTGGTCAGCACTGCTGCCGCTTAGCAAGAAGGTCCTGGGTTTGATCCCAGAAGTGGGCATAGGTCCTTTCTGTGTGGAGTTCACATGCTCTTCCCATGTTTGTGTGTGTTTCCACCCTCAATTAAATAGTGTGTAGGGTGGGTTGATTGGTAAGTCTAAAATGGCCTTGTGTGTGTCTGCACCCTGTGGTGTGTTGGTGGCTGTGCTGGGTTGATTCCTGCCTGGGCTGTTTGTTCCTGGGATAGGCTCTGGAGCCCCCCATGTCCCCAGTTTGGATTAAGTGGTTACAGTGATCAAAACAATCATTTAAAAACATTTTGTCTGTGTTTCTGTTGTTTGATCTTAAAACTGCAGCAGTAATGCCTATTTGGGGAAAATGGTTGATCATTAAATTTTAATATGCCTAATAAGTTCAGGCATTGTCAATTGCTCTGCACAAAATTCAGGCACTGTATTTCACTACAACGTTTTGTTTTTCAGCTGCCTCTTGTTAGCCTTTAGTTGGTTTTCGTACTTAAGTACCTGTTTGTCTTGTCATCCCCAGTCCGGTCAGTCCTCCTGTTGCCTCTGCCCTACCCAGAGTTACTCTTCCTGTTTTGACCCCTTGTGGTCCTGTTTGTTCCCTTGCTCCTCTTTCGGTTTAATAAAGCCCCTTTTTGTTCTCCAGATGCCTGCTATCGAGTCCTTCGTTTCTTGTGCCATGACATCATGCTTTCATTTTTAAAAAAAAATAACTTCTACAGATTTCACTTAGATTTAAAATGTAAATGAAATAGTCCATGATCCACGTTTTGCTCGTTGCCAAAATCGTCAAAGGCGTAACCCCATTTTCTAGCGTAATGAATCAATAGGTGCTTTCAGACCTCCGGAACTACTTGCTGGAACCAGAACCTTTTTCTGAAACCAGGGACTTTTCTTGTGTTCACACTGCAAGAATTCAGCCCAATTGTAATTCCTCAGAGGCAGTTCCAGAATCTTTTTAGTACCTACTCCAAATTAGGTACTTTTCAATTGAAAATTAGCCACTGGGGAGGCGCTTACAGCGATAGTTTGCAAATTCGTTGACCACAAGCACTGGTGCTAAAATGGAAGTTACATGGAAGTGCAGAAAAATATGAAGCAGAGCGGAAACTGCCAGTTTTTATATGGTGATCTAGTGTAAGTTAATGCTGTTTTTTTAACACAATGCAAGATGTGTCATTGACTTTTTAAGTCTTCAAAACTCTCCTGTCTACTAGTGGCTGGTTGCTGGTAGCCAGTACTCCCTGACCAGTGCAATGCATGACGTAGGCTTTGATTTTGCATGGCGCAGTCATAAAATAAATGCAGTTGGAGCCAGACAAGATAGTGTTATGATGAAAAGTTTACAACAACTATCCTAAAATCTCACTTTCAGAGCTTTCAGGCATGTCAGATCGAGAGTTATTCTAATAAAATGGAGTACGCTGTTTGTAAGATGTGCAAAATACTTATAATGTAAATGCATTGTTATAGACCTGCCGTGTGCACTGTATGTAAGGTGAAAAGTTGTATAGCAACAGCAATGTGTACTTGCTTGTCGGGTTAGAGTTGTAAAAAAAAGGTTATGTGGTACCTTGGGCGGAGCTTAAAGCTCCCCCCATCTATGACGTGATAAGCGGGAGGTGGGCGTATCCTTTATTCTGATTGGTCGAGGGGTTTTGGCCAATGGTATCATACATGCTTATGCCACGTGTTGCCGATAGGGGGAGGTATGGTTTGGGGAGATAAGGGTTGTCGTTAAACTTTAATAGAATAAAAATACATTACATGTATTTTATTAATGTGGTATTTTTAATTACATTTTTAAGGAATAATAAAAGATATAGCAGGATGAACGTAAGCTAGCGCATACAGGTCCAGCGGGGGTTCCGTCCGCTCGTCCGCAGTGGGCACAAGCGCCCGTGTTCTGTCGAAAAATACTACCTATCGAGACGTGCTATCGAGCCATTCTGTGCATGTGCAGTTCCACCGTTTTGGGATTAGGGTTAGGTTTTAGGGGTTAGGGTTAGGCTTAAGGTAAGGGTTTTGGGGGGTTAGGGTTAGGGTAAGAGTTAGGGTTAGGGATATATATTAGCACTATGGTAGCATTTTTCGACAAGGCAGCATATATCGACAGAACACCCGGCGTATTTTAAAAGAAGAAAACCCCAAAATGTTTTAAACAAGAAAAATTTTTGTGTTATTTTAAAAGAAAGAAAGAAAAAGC